CAATACTTTTAATATTCTTCTCCAACTCCATAACTCAAATGCATCAATTCTTCTACATTCTTGCTTACTCATTGTCTAACTTTCACATGCATATGTGAAAGTTGTTGCTGTTGTTAAGTGTCAAGTGTCAATTTGGTTCTGACTCATAGCAACCCTGAATAGGGTCTGAGAAGCAGCTGGTGAACTTGAACCACCAACCATGTTGTTCAAACCAAGCTTGTGGTCCAGTGCTTTAGCCTCAGCACCACACCAGATCTCCAGTTAGGCTAATGGAAATAACATGGCTTGGGTCAGGTGTACTTTAGTCCTCAAACTGACATCTTTTATCTTCAACACTTTAAAGAGGTCTTGTGCAGCAGATTTGCCTAATTCGATACGTCATCTGATTTCTTGACTGTTGCTTCCGTGAGTGTTCATGGTGGATCCAAGCAAAGTGAAGTCTCTGAAAATTTCAGTCTTTTTTCCATTTATCATGATGTTATTTATTGTTCCAGTGGTGAAGATTTTTGTTTTCCTTACATTGAGGTGTAACCCATACCAAAGGCTGTGGTCTTTGATCTTCATCAGCATGATTAAAGCACAAGTGACTTTTTTTTTAGTGTTTTATTGTGAATTATGTGATAATTTACATGGGAGAACATTAGCTTTACATTCATCTTATCATATGTCATTTCATTGCTATGGTTACAATCCCCTCCATGCATCATCAACCAACCAAAGGTATACCCTGCAAACCTGCTCCCCGGTTGTCAGCACACAGCCTCTCACCCTCTCTGGGTCTAAAGTCCGCAGTCACTCCATCTCTCCACATCATCGTCTCTATCTCTGGCATCACTGTTTCTCTGGGTAGGGTCCCGCTCCCTGCTCTTCTCCCTTCATGGTCCCAGGGACCTCCGCTCCAAAACTACAAAGTCAATCACGCCCCTCCTTTTGCTACAAAATGTCTACCTTTACATTTCCAACCCTCACAGTCAGTCCTGATAACAATTATTCACTATTGTATCACAAAAGACTGATCTGCATCTCCTTTCAT